TTGCATAGTCAATAAAACACAAATAGAATGTGTTTGGTATTCTCTGCTTGCAGCCAAGAGACATCTGATGTTAGCAATGATGATATCTATCCCTTATTCCACCTCTTCTTGTGAATCCCGCTTGAATTTATGGCATGTTCTTGTCAATGTACTCTTTCTACTATACATTTTTAAAAAATTATCTTCAGCACAATTTTACTTGGATGTGATATGAATGATTATGTTTGATAATTTCCACATTCTTTTGGGTCACTTTTCTTTGGAATGGGCACAAATATGAACCTCTTCTAGTCAATTAGCCAGGTAGCTGTCTTCAGGATTTCTTGGCATAGGCTAGTGAGTCCTGCACGGCATCAATTTATTGAAACATTTCAATAGGTATTCCGTCAGTTTGTCATACTCTGGTGGCTTACGTACTGCTGTGATTCTGGAATCAATGCCACTGGTGTTTCAGAAACTAGTAGGGTCATCCATGGTGGGGAGCAGGTTTCAGCGGAGCTTCCAGACTGAGATCAGATTAGGAAGAAGGAATAGGCAGTCCACTTCTGAGGTGACAGAATTAAGTATAGTAAAGGATGATATTTGGACGTGAAAACAGTAAAGCGTTAGTTTTTCAGGCTTTCCCTGCCTCAGTCAGACGGTGGTCTTCATCATTCTCAGTTGTGTAGTCTCAAGGAAAGGTTTGGGAGAGACTGGTTAGAAATGGCCGCAAGGGGTTGGCTGTAAATGCCGGGCGTTTCCTGTCTGCTGTCAGGAGAGTCTCTGTAGGTGCAGGAAGGAAGAGAAGCCTGCATCCCCGGCCCAGCAGGCAAGTCGGAGCTATGCCCAGTTCTCCCCACAGAGGTCTCCCTTCGCCTAGTTCTCTGAGGTGCAGCCCATCCCCTAACCAAGGGCAAAATCTTCCAGGCCAGAATTGACAGACATCTCTAATGGCTTAATGTAAATTGTAGCATGTGTCATTAAGACTAGGCTGACAGATGGCTGAGGGTTCAGCTGTCTGCCAGGGTAAATGGGTGGAGCCAGAAAAATGAAAGTTGGGGGAGGGAGGGAATGGATATAATCCATGTGTTATTTTTAAAGCACTCTTAGAAATATAGAGAGAGCCTGGCCAGCTTCCTCCCTATCCCAGCAGTATTTTCCCCTCAGCTTGACCCTCCCCCCTGGGGCTTACATTGAAGGGAGGGGAGGAGAGAATCGGCTTCTTTATCAGTTGCCCCAGCAACCATGGAAACTCGGGGTGAGTGGTTGCTAGAAGAGCTTGAAGGTCATCAGCATCTGTGAAGCCTCCAGAGATTTCCAGCAGCTCCTAGGAGGCATGAACTTGATGAAACAAATACTGTAAGATGGGCTTTGATTTATTTTTGCTGGAGGAATAAAATACTGATTAGGTCACACTTTGAAGGTGGGAATGTCATGAAAAAAAAATTAGCAATTCAAAAACAGTTGGAGAATCTAGATCTTTCTGATTTGAGAGGGAAATAAAATAAAATCTGCTCCCTCCATGAGCAATAAAAGGTTCATTTTCTCTTCATTTCAAAGCCCTGCTTGCCCTGTGACCTCTGAACTGGAAGGAGCAAAGGGAAGGAAGTTGGTGTTTTCTGAGGGCATCTGTCATTATTGCAAGTGTCTGTCAGAGCATGGATGGGATGCTGGGGGCTTCCTGGAAGACCCTTGTAAACCAGATTGCCAGATTGTGAGGCCTTGCCCCAAATTGCGCTGCGACCCCCAACCCCCCACCCCCCCTTTCCCCTTTGATCTTGATTTTAAGTGCTGAGAAAAGAAACTTTTGGAAGTTTCTCACCCTCTAAGTACTCATACTGATTACCTTTGAGTCAGTTACAACGTAAGATGACACCATGTGTGCCAAAGTAGTGGCTGATTTTCCAAAAGTAGATCACCATCTTTTCTTCTGAGGCACCTTGGAGTGGAATTGAACCTCTAACCTCTCTGTTAGCAATTGATTGAATTGATCATTTGCATCACCCAGGGACTCCTTAAGTCCTCAAGTCCTCATATTTCTGATTCACTGCCTCCATCCTCTAGCCCCACTTTTTCTTCCAATGCGTTTGTATTTGTAGTTCTTTGAACTTAAGGTAGAAAAATGCTGCTGTTACTAACATCTCAGTTTAATTTGATTTTCAAGCTCTGGAAGCTTGTGATATTTCGTAGTTTAGAGGTTGAACTTGCTCCTTGGGCTTTATTTACTTTCTCTATTTAGCTTGTCTCTCTAGCAGCCAGGTTAATGAAAAGCCTAGAAAGACTGACGGACAAACTTGCTTTAAAGCAAGCTGCCTTCTATTCTTCTGCATTTTCTTGTTTTATGGGCTACATTAACTCATTTTGTAAGTGTTAAATTTATGAGTGTGTTTGAAAGAGATCTTCTCTTTAGGAAGTTACTGAAAGTCCCAACTAAAAAGGAACTGGCCATGGGGGCAGACACAGGGATACTGTATGCCTTGTGTGTCTGCTTTGCTGTCCTGTCGGGCCTTCTGTGTGCAGTGTAAGTCCTTGTTTTCTTCTGTAACCACTTGAATATGTCACATTTGCTGGAGTGCTCCAGGGAAATCACCTGCTTCACTGGAACTTTGAGTTGGGCAAAAGGTAAACTCTGAAACGTTTTCTCTCTGTGAGATCTGGTGGGGGGGGGGGGCTTTCTGGGACTCAGTGAGGCCCCTTGTTGGCTCTGGCCAGAGCTTGGAGATTAAGTTAGACTCCTGCCCATTCTTCTCAGAAGTGTTGGATAAATAGCAACATGTTGCTTTTTAGCAATAGTAGCCCTCTGCTCTTGATTACTGCTGAATCTTTTCTGTGTAACCATCTGTGTGATCTTTGCAATATGTACCTTTTAAGAAAGAATAAAATTATTGAGCATAATTAGTGCTATGTTTTCAAATGAATGTTTTGCATCTTTTTGGCAGCAAATTAGTGTCTTGAATCTGTTGGAATATTGCCCGCTCTTATCAGTGTGGCTACATCATATTATTTGGAAGTAATTTCTTAATTCTTTCTTCACTCACAAGTCTGACTGATCTTCTCCGGCAGCTGTGGACCAGAAAATATGGGAGCCACATTGCCACTTTGGTTGGGAGCCTGTATGTGGGGAATGAGGTGGGCAGTGTTGGTATGCTCTGTGCAGACCCAGGCCTTTGTGTACCCAATCTCCCTTGGAAAGAGGCCCAGAATTCAAAGCTGGAGGTCGTTGGATGTCACTGGCTTTGTTTGAGAAGCTCTTCAATGTGACGTTTGTGTCCTGAGATCCCAAGAAATGCTGCACTGGCAGAGATTGTGGGCCCGTTGAGCTCAGCAGTTTGTCTTTGACAGTGAGCACTAACGGAGGTTTTGTGGGACAGCCCAGTTGCAGTTGCCCTTCACAGGTGCTGTCTCACGGGCTTTGTGATCTACCCCAGTATCTGGGCTTCTTGTAATAGCCATGTTACCCAGGAATTAAAAAAAAAAAAAAAAATTCTCCTGGAACCTATTCATATGTGCCAAATCTTATGGTGAAAAATTCCAGAAGTCAGCAAATATTTGAATGTTTAGCTTGTGCATCGCATAGTACAAAGCATTGTAGAAGATACAAAGGATGCCTACTGTATGGGCATGAAGAGACAACTCAGTGATCTCAGCTGTCACCTGGGGAGCCTGCTGTGATTGGATCAAGCTCAGACAGAATGCCAGATTATTTATGCCAGGAAATACAACTACCAGACAGACTCCACACTGGGTTTCTCTCCCTACATGCAAATCGAATAAAGAGCCAAGTCTTAATCAGAAAGCTGATTAGTGAGCCAAGGGAAGCTGGAGTTGGTGTGACTGAGTTGTTGACTTGACAACGGAGCATAACCCTTCCACTCAGTCTGGAGACCACACTCGTCTTTCTCATGAGTCCTGTCCTATCCCTGGTTGATGTTTTCATGGGTTAATATGTTCAGGGCCCCGACAGTCCAGCCTTGTCCTGAAAGTGCCTGAACACATCTCTGCTCTGTCCATATTAGGTGCTTACGAGTTTAATGCTGGAAGATAATTGTCCTTTCCTAAATATTTTTGAGGAGAGGAGTCAGTGTGGACTATGGAGTCATGGACTTTCTGTGTATGCAGCAGACAATTACAAAGCAACGTAGGATGAAGTGCTAAATTATGTGGTCTAGACAGCATGAGCCAGACAAACAAATCAGAGAGGGGAGAGGTCAATGTGGGCTGGAAGGGCTGAAGAAGGCTTCTGTGTGCGGCACAGTTGAGAATTGAATTCATACTTGAAGAGGTAAGGACTTGGGGAAAAGAAGATAAGGCAGTAGGAGTAAATCCGGGGGAGGAATGCTTATGCTTTCTGTTGTCATTCTCCTTGTCAATGGCACTCAGCATTTTGTTGACCTTTCTGGCCAAAGGAGTATTTGAGGCACTGTGGAGAAGTGGAAAGCCTGCTTGCTAATCTTACTCTCCTAGTCAGGATCTGCCATTTGCTCTCTGAGTCTCAACGTCCACATCTATATAATGGAAACACTATCACCTTCCTTGTGAATTTTGTTGTTACAATTGAGAGAATGTAGATGAGTGTTGTTAGTGCAGGGTGCTGGTGGTGGTAGTGCCTTCGAATCGGTTCCAACTCATCGTGACCCAGTGCAGGCTTTAAGTCTTTGTGGGAGCAGAAAGCCTCATCTTTCTCTTGTGGAGTGTCTGGCAGACTCAAACTGCCAACCTTGTGGTTTACAGTCATTCTAATGTTTATCATTTGCAGGGCAAGCACTCAAAAAATATTAGTTGAATCTGAATTGTTGATTTCTTCAGGAAGAAATGTATGCTGATTGGTAGATTGCCAGATTACTGGGATTCCCATGGTAGTGATGGGACCATGGGTACAATTACGACTTGTCACAAACTTGTGTGCTGTGCCCGCTGAGCTAGTCTGGTTTTCCTGACATGGTCTCATTCAGCCTTCAGAATCTTTATAGGGTTACTTCCAAAGGTTTCAGTACTGACCAGTCCAATATTCTTCTTTGTAGGTGCGGAATGGTCACATCAAAAGAATCACTGATAATGACATCCAGTCCCTGGTACTGGAGATTGAAGGGACAAATGTCAGGTAGGCTGCCCCTCAAATCGACATTGTATTCCAGGGAAGCAATGCATCACAGTGGTTAATATACAGATGCTGGGTCAGTCAGCTTGGTTTCTTACTCCCCTGGGTCTTCGTTTCCTCATCTGTGAAGTAGGGATAGTAACAGTCCTTATTCATTATAGTATTACTGTGAAGATTAAATGAGTGACTATGTGCCAAGCACTTAGCACATAGTAAGCACTATAAAAATGTTAGCTATTGTTAATACTAGAGTCTTGGTGTAGTGCTGTGGGCTAATGCACTGGCCTGCAAAATTGGTTTGAAGCACAAGATTGGCTGTTCAAACTCATCAGCCACTTCTCGGAAACGCTATACAGATTTGCTATGGGTCGGAACTGACTTGATGGCAAATAACAACAACATTACTACTTCAATAGGGCAGAGCGGAAGCCAGGGGGATTTGGGGGTATCATTCTGACGTTATGGTCCAGAAAGTGGCCAGTGTGGTTTTCAGAGTCCTAGGATAGCATTGTATGATAAGCACTGGACCACAAGGACGGCAGTTCAAAACTCACCAGCCACTTCTCGGAAATCCTAGACAAGTGTCGCTGTGAGTCAAAACCGATTCAGTGACACTTAACAACAACTTGGCCTTAGTTTTGATTTTCTGCCATTTGATAGTTCTGGAGCAACTGCAAGTTTGTCTCCCTGAAAGAATTTCCCAAGGTCCAGTTGGTCTGACTTTGTTTTTCAGATATTTTGTTGCCGTCTAGTTCTGTTCTAAGCTCTTTTGTGTCGGAGTTCTGCAGTACTTTAAAGAAACAGCTAATTTAAGGGTGGAGGGATGCCTTGGATGACTTTTCTGGATCTCTGTGATCTCCCTGCCATGTGTTAAGTTGTTACCACACAGCCAAGGCAAGTGGTTTGTTCACTGGGGCTTCTCTCTCTACAGCACCACATATATCACATGTCCTGCAGACCCAAAGAAGACACTGGGGATTAAACTTCCCTTCCTTGTCATGATTATCAAAAACCTAAAGAAATATTTTACCTTTGAAGTACAGGTAAGTGTGTGTACACCAATGGGCACCTTCAGGGTAGGTGTCCTTTCCACTTGCAGCAAATAGTGGCTTAGGAAAGTTTCTGTATCCTTTTGCATGTATTTCCGTCTTTATAGTAAGCTTGGAGTCCTGGTGTGGTACTGTAGGATAAGCACTGGACTGAAAAGTCAGTTTGAACAAGGTCGGCGGTTCAAATCTACCAGCTGCTCCTCGGAAACCCTATACAGGGTCGCTATGAGTTGGAATTGACTCGATGTCACTTAACAACAACATAGTTAGCTTAATACAACTCTTGCTCTCCTTTTTAAAATTTGGTAGTTTTGATCCAGCCTTACTCTACCAAGTTTTTAAAGAAATAGTAGCCACCTAGGAAATCGAATCAACTGCTGTAAGACTTCAAAGCATCAGGGTTAGAACAATGTCCATTTGGGGAGGAGTTCTGTGACACAGGGTGACTGTTGGCCTCTTTCAGTGTTTTTGGTTTCTCAAAGGGAAGAGCTTCCATGAAATCATTCTGTGGTCTGAGAGTCACCCTCATATGTCATAAGCAGCTGGTGTTGGTTGTCTTGGCAACAGATAGGGTAAACTTGCCACTTCCGGTCCATCTGCATCCGGTGTGACCTGTGTCTGGACTGTTGATTCTCTCCTGGGTCTTGGCCTTGGGAAACTGAGCTCTATGAGCTCAGGTCCTGGTCTTAACTAAGGGTATGTGCTACTTCAAGACAGAGTTAATGGGATGCTTCTCTCTGTCTCACAGGTACTAGATGACAAAAATGTGCGTCGGCGGTTTCGGGCAAGTAACTACCAGAGCACCACCCGGGTCAAACCCTTCATCTGTACCATGCCCATGCGGCTGGATGACGGCTGGAACCAGATTCAGTTTAACCTGTCTGACTTCACCCGGCGGGCATATGGCACAAATTACATCGAGACCCTCAGGGTGCAGGTAACTGGGTAAAGTTTCCCCAGTCATTGTCCGCAGAACTTTACCCTTGAAGGGATTCAGGAACAATTTAGGGTTCTGCTCAGCACATGCACCCTCATGCCAGAATCCCCCTGAGCCACTCTGAGGAGATGCTGAAGAGACAGAGCTTTGTCAGCACCCTGACAGAGGCTCTGGGAAACTCAGGAAAGGGAAGGGCAATCAACTTAAGCTTCTCAAAATAAGTCTTGCACCCCCAGATCCATGCAAACTGTCGCATCCGACGGGTTTACTTCTCAGACAGACTCTACTCAGAGGATGAACTGCCAGCAGAGTTCAAACTCTACCTCCCAGTTCAGAACAAGGCAAAGGTAAGCCGGCCTGCCTCAGGGAAAGGCCGGGGGGTAAGTTTGGGGGGGCCCAGTGGCGGGGACGTGCCTGGAGATTAGTATCTAAGAGTCTAGCTGCGGAGCTCCTCTGTGGGGAGCTCTGGTGAAACTGTCTTCTGCCATCAGCAGTGCCCCTCCTGATGGTCTCCTGCTGCTTCCTGCTCAGGGGCCAGCCTCCATCTGGACCCCTTTTCCTCCCAGCACGCAGGCCCGTCTAACACAGTGCGTCCCTGTGTGCCCGCTGCTGCTGCTGCTGCACATGCTGCACCTCCAGCCCAGGTCCACACGAACGTCACTGAGGCAGGGCACCAGTGACAGTGCCCATCGCTTTTCTAATAACATAATACATGCCTTTCCTGTTTTCTCCCTCTAGCAATAACTGGAGTACAACTGGAGAGATAGACCCTAGACATGACTCGTCATTTAAAAAGGAACTATCTGGAGGACAATGCAAAAAGCAGAAATATTTATATTAGTTCACTGTGCTGTGGTTCTTTTGTTTCCTACTTGGCGTCTCTGGTCACAGACCTCATTGGCCATGCCGTGACTCCAAAATTGCCTTGTAAGTACAGTGGGGGATAAGTCATCCTCTGAGTGGTGCGTGAATGCCGGAGTTTCTCTTGCTGCCTGCCCTAGGGAACGTCCAGAATTAAAGATGTCCTATAAGATCATTTCAGATCAAAATTTCTTTCTATGGTATGTGTTTTCTTCTATATATTATATAAATATGTGTATTCTATGTTGTGTGATACCTACGATCTGGATGAATAAAATGCTATATTCTTGTTTGTAAATTGTTCGTGTTTTGCCTTTTTCAATGGTGACATTCCCCTTTTTTTCATGAACACTTTATGACCAATAGAATTGTATTAACTATTATAAGGATTAGGTGTAAAATAGAGTTTAAGATAAAAATGGCACATCTAAATTCTCTAAAACATTTTAGGCAGGTGCCATATTGGAGGCCCCCATGCCCCTGAAATAATTGGCACCATTTCCTTTTAGAAGTACTCCGGAGGGGAGTACTAGCCTTGGGTGTAGGGACTTAGAACAAAAACATTTCTTTAAACTCTAGACTCACGTGAGGGAGCCATAACCTTTCCTGTCCACAGGTCCTTGGTATGTGCTGGGCAGTGGAGTGATCCTGGCGTCTTCTTTTAGCTAAGCACCAATTGTTAAATAAGGATCCCTGATGGCATTGTAGGATAAGCACAGGACTGCTAACTGCAAGGTCAGCAGTTCCAACACACCAGCCGCTCCTCAGGAGAAAGATGGCTTTCCCGTTCCTGTAAAGATTTACAGCCTTAGAAACCCTATCCAGGCTCTGTGAGCTGAAATTTACTCAGTGGCAATGGGTTTAATCATTCGATTTATAAGTGTTGAACATGTAGATGATACAGGTGAACTGTATGTTAACACTGGCAGGAAGTGATTTGAGGGCAGAGGAGAAAGCATGACCTTGAAGGACATACAAGAACCAGTATAGTGACTACATCTGGGGAATAAAGACTAATTCTGAAAAGGCGAAATTCATGTAATAAATTCAAAGTCAGAAAAGAGAAAGGGCCATCTCAGATACTCTGGATGAGGTTTCTTTCCACAGGGATGAGACTAGAATAGGGACAGGAACCATTCTATTTTGGTAAAAAGTAAAAATAATTAGACATGGCCTTGCTATTCCTATCTTCTGCAAAGGTGTTAAAAGGTCAGTACCATGGCCAAGAAGCACTCTCGCTCAGCCTCCTTCTCTAGTGTGCCCTGGGTGATGGTGGTCAAACCTCTAAGGAGGGCAAGAGCCACTTAGGAGAGAGTAGGGGAGAGGGCTCCCATCATGAGTGCTCATTTCTCCTCAGGCTTGTCTAGGGCCTGACACTTTGAGCGCCTCTCAAGATGAATTTCCCTTCTCTGTGAGTGCTAACCACCAGATTGGAACAGTCTTTCCTACACATACTACCCCTGTCCTTAGAGACTCGCCCTTCGATCCCACATCCCAGTGCTCCAGTTGTCTACTTCCCATCAGCCCAGGTGAAAGAGTCTGCTCTTTCAGGACCAGCCCCAGTCAAATGTGACTGTGGTCCCCCTTGCCCATCCTTAAACACGGTGGCCTCAGGTTCTTAGACTCTCTGTGACTGTCTCTAGCATCTGGGTGACAATAGGACTTCTCAGAAATGGTTAATGTGGGGATGGTAAACGACTCGAACAGGACTGCTGTCTGGCTACTCCAATCTGGAGATTTTCGTGGATGAAAGATGCTTTTGTGGAGGGGAGAAAACTGGTTAACTGTTCATTTCACTGCAGTGTCAGGCCATCAATGAAGGGTCCTGGAAGTGCCTACAGCACTTTTCCTCCCCACAGAGCACCCTTCCCCTTCAAGGCACAGCCTATGTGAGGAGATGACCTCATCACCCTCTCTGGGCTGGGAGGCAACAGCTGTTGGTTTCCCAGATGCTTTACATATCCATCTGAGAGGAAGTGAGGGGGCGTGAGGGTGATGGGATGGATTTATCTAGGCTGGATCCAGGCCAGTGTGAATTGTGGCACCAGTGACTTCACGACCCCTTGCCCTCAGCTTCCTAGCAGCTTGCCAGGAAGATGACGATTACTGAGGCCAGAAGAGGAAGAGAAGAACAGGCTGCTGGTGCCCAAGGCCTCTGAGGGAGCCTGAATTAGGCAGAGTTGGGCTCTCCTGCTCCTCGAGTCATGGTGTGCCTTAGAAGGAATTGCCTTCCCAATGAAAGAAGGTTACTCAGCATGGATTTGAGGAACCATCCCCAACATGGGGGAGGGTAGATCCACACAGCCTGATTTGCCATTGGCCCACTGACTATAGTGAAAAGGAAGAAACTACAGTTCAGTGCAACTGAGGAACCTTCTAGACCATAGCGTAGAGTAAGACACAGCATAGTTAGGATGCTTCTATTTATACGAAAGTTTACAACAGGAGATTCCATTTTGTTCTAGGCTACATTCATAAAGAGTGACAGGTATGGGATTGAGGATCAAATCCAGGAGGCTGCTTTCCCTGGCAGTGGGGGTGGGACCTGAAAGTTGAGTGGAGACACTTCATGGGGCTTCCAAGAACCAGCAGTGTTCTCTTAACTTGGGTGGTGTTTACACATTGATATTTGCTTCATTATTATGTAAATGACAAACATATGTAATATACTTTTCTAATAACATTTCCCAATTTTAGAAAGATCCAGTTCAGATTCCTTAATCTTGGCCTCTTAAAATGCGGATTCTTGGTGCCCAGTTTGTGAAAATGCAGATTCACGGTCCCAGCTCCTGGAGATGTGCATTGCCACACCCTGGTGGTTTGTGGTGACTTGACACCTCAGAAACTACTCAAGTGGAGTGAGAAGTCAAAGGAATGGTCAGATGCTTGGAGGAAGAGAAGCCTGAAACAGCCCAGCCCTCCACATGTAACTTACCTCTCTCCAACTTCCCATTGCCAGAAAAGGAAAGGTCCGATACTGTAAACCATGTACACATTTGTAAGCTCACAAGCATGGAACATCTGGATGGAGCCAGAGCATGGAAAAAGTGTGATTCTTGGTATCCATGGTGTCTGAAGCAAAGCAAACCAGTGTGCAAGGGGTGGGATGTGGAAACACTAGGCAGAACCCCTATTAAAGGGTGTAAATGTTTCCAAGGGCTTTCTCTGTTTTATTCCATGAGCTTGGCTGCTAACCCATAGGTTGGTAGTTCAAATCCATCCAGCAGCTCTGTGAGAGAAAGATTTGGTGATCTGCTGCTCTCTTAAATATTACAGTTTAGAGAATTGTATGGGCTTATGAGTGGCCACTTATTATTAAGTTGGTTCCTACCTATAGTGACTCTGTATAGAGTTTCCAAGGAGCAGCAGTTGGTGAGCTTGAACCACCGACTTTGCAGCCCAGAGCATTAACCCACAGTGCCATACCAGGACTCTTAAGGTGTGGTGATTTCCCTATCTGGAACAAAACAGAACGAAGAAAACCAGGGACTCATGGAAAGAGTCCAAAGAACTAATGGGCCACATGAACCTCAGCCCCATGACCCTGAGACCAAAAGAGCTAGATGGTGCCTGACTACTGCTACCAACTTCTCAGAAAGGGATCGTATTAGAATAGAAGGTCCTGGATAGAATGGGAAAAAAAGATGAGCAACATAGCTCAAAATCATAAATACTAATAAAAGTAAGTTTATTGCTTGGATAAGGAGCCCTGGTGGCACTGTGGATTAGGCATTGGGTTGCTATGTTAATCTTAAAGTTGGCAGTTCAAATCCACCAGCTGCTATGTGGGGGAAAGAGGAGGCTGTACCCAGAAAGATGTACAGTCCTAGAGTGTCTGTTGGAATCAACTTAATGGTTGTTGTTGTTGTGAAGTGCCGTGGAGTCGGTTCCAACTCATAGCGACCCTACACAGGGTTTCCGAGGCTGTAAATCTTTACGGGAGCAGACCGCCTCATCTTTCTCCCGCGGAACAGCTGGTAGTTTCGAACTGCTGACCTTACAGCTCGCAGCCCGATTCGTAACCACTACGCTACCAGAGCTCCTTAATGGTAGTGTGTGGGATTTTTTTGGTTTTGGGTGGATAGAAGCAGGTGGAATCCCTGAGACTGGCCTATCATCACCCTTCAAGTCTGAATATGAACTCACCCCCATGGCTCAGAGTTCGGCTAAACAATAGGTCTGTAAGGGGAACACTACCTCTAGTGAAGTACACACACCTTAGAACAATCAACTATTTGAGATCAAAAGACCAGCATTTACCCAAAGACAAAGTGGGAAAGGAGGAGGGATGGTAACACATTTTAGGGAGGAATGGAGTACATGAGGGTGAACTGTGGGGTTGTAATCAAGGGCCTGAAACAAAATGTGTCTGAATTGTTGAATGGAAAACAGCTGCTCTGTAAACTGTTACCTAATTCACAATAAAAAAGTTAAAAAAAGAACCAAAAAACAAGACATACAGGTTGTGGAAGACTACCCAGCCTCTTTCTCTTTCCTTAGCTTCCCCCTTCTCCTCAGACACCCCCTCAGACAAGGGGGAGAAAGGATATATTAATGCTGAGTCAGGAGGAAACTTGTAGTGTTTATTCATTTATATCTGTTTTAAAAAGGATATGAGGCACTTTACCAAAACTATCTAGTATGAAATTTTCTTGTATAGTCCCTGGGTGGTGGTAATATGCTTCCCTGGATACTAACCAAAAGGTTGGAAGTGCTGCAGAAGAAAGGCCTGGAGATCTTCCCCCCAAAAAATCAATCATTTATGGAGCACAGTTCTGACACCGAGAGTTGGAATAGGCTCAATGGCAACTTGAGAAAG